GGCTAGAAAAAACCTGGAACGATTGCAGAGACGCATATGCGTCTGCATCACAGGGTCTATGAAAACTTGTCCAACGGCGGCAATGAAGGTGATTTTGGGACTTACCCCTTTTCACCCTATTGTGGAGATGCCACAGAAAGCTGCTATTTTCAGGTTGGGGAGAAGTGGGGCCGGAATAATCTGAATGAGAGATCAAGGTCGTCATTTCAGGTTCCGCTCCTATCGATGCCTCTGGACGACATGATAAAGAGATACAGATTCGAGAAAAATTTTGCCTCGTTGCTGAGTAACAGAAAGGACTGGGAGTGTGACTTTTCAGGTCGCCCAATGGGAGCACACGTTATCAGATGGTACGCAGATGGGTCAAATACCAGAATTGGGACGGGTGCGGGGGTATTGGGGCCAAGAACCGAGTTCCCTGAACCTATGGGAACTTTTTCGAGTGTACTTCGGGCAGAGTTGCACGCCATTGCAATGTGCGTACAGTTCAGCCTGGAAAAGGGGTACCGGGGAATGGAGATTATGTGGGATAGCCGGGCTGCGATCGGAGCGCTGAACTCATTTTCAGTATCCTACGCGGCAATATAGGGCTGTCTTGAGAAGCTAAATGAGTTGGGCGGATGCAACCGGCTGACACTGAGTTGGATGCCGGGCCATGTAGGCATGGAAGAAAATGAGGCTGATGCACTTGCATGGAAGGGGGCAAACACACCTCTCCTTGGGCCGGAACCCTTCTGCAGAATCGGACCATATACTATTCGTTTGGAATTAAGGAAGGAATCGGAAAGAAGGCGGTCGAAGCGCTGGAGAAGTCTTCCAGGGCTGCGGTAAACCAAAGAGCTACTGGATACTTGCAGATTCTGTGGGGAGTATGGAGAGACCTCGATGCACCTCCTGGGGGAATGTGATGGTCTTTCCTCTAACGGTGGTGGAGTTACGGTTTCTGGTCCTCACAAGTTGCTTTAGTTCATCAGGAGAGTGGGTCTCGAGTGTGTGTTGTAGGACATGCCCCGCACTCGGATGGGGCGCCTAATAGATCCTTATACGTGGTCACGGTGCACTGTTGCCCCCGTTGTACAAATCTACAATCTACAACCGAAATAACATTTGACAATATTTCCGGACGTGTCCCAGACGTTAGATAATATCAAGAAAACTATTATCTCCAAGATTATAGTCTTAATTGACAACAAAGTACTGATATATAACGAAATAATAAAACCTATATGGACGCATTATATACCACTATGGGCTTAGGCTAAGTAAACACAAGTCAAACTAAAAACTTTCCAAAACAAGGTCCTTAGTAATATGTTAAGTGGTCCATAGTTCCTAGTGACACTCATAGGGATTTTGGCGTCCTCGAAGTAAGTGTTAGTGTAACGTAGCATGGAGAAGTTTCGAGGTTGGAAAACTTGAGGGGCGAGGTTCAATAAAGCTAGGCAACAGGGTACTTGGGAAGAGTACAAGGCAACATTAACGGCCTACAGCAAAGATATCCGCAGGGCCAAGCGCAGAAGTTCCAGATCATTCTGCTATGGCATAGCGGAGACTCCGGCGATTGCGAGGCTGCAAAGGGTCCTGGGTAAAGACAGGGCGCTATCGACTACTTCTTTAAAGAGGCCTCCAGAACGAGGAGCAAAGGGCTCTTCTTCTGAAGGCGCATTTCCCTGGTAGCAATCCGCATGTTGGATCCGTGGTGTCCAATTATGCCTTCCTAATTAAAACTATTTAGGAGTAGGCTGGCTTTTGGATAGACTCCCGAGTCCTGTCGGATGACTAAGGTGATCTTCATCCCCAAACTTACAAGCAGACACATGGTGCCCAAGTCATTCAGACCGATTAGCCTCACATCGTTCTTATTGAAAACATTGGATAAAATAATAGACAATTCCAATCTTTATGTCCAATATGTTGGATACGAGAGTTGCAGAGACTACTTTGGGGCAAAGCACCTTAAGCAGGATACGTGTGGCTAGAGAATGTGCATAGGGTGAAATTCTATCTTTAATTCAATATTCTATTCAATATTATTTTTATAATCGCTAGGGGCAAGCTTGAAATGACTCTTTGTGACATAGTCCAAAGGAAATTACGGGTGGCGCAGGCCTAGAGCGATGCTGTGGACCACAGACTTGACCCTGGCAAGACGATCCTAGTGCCTTTCACTAGGAGAAGGAAGCTTGAGCAACTGCACACAATTCACATGTGCGGTGCGAGTGCAGATAAAAAATCGGATGCCAAAAACCTGTGGGTGGTTTTTGATTCCAAGCTTCTTTGGCGGAGTCACGAGGAAGTTGTATGTATACTGGCAACCCGCGCGCTTATGGTTTGCAGAGCCATCTCGTGGTCGTAGAAAACTTCAGCGAATTACACATTATCAGATGGTACGCTAATGGGCCAAAAACCAGTATGGAGACGTGTGCGGGGTTTTTTGGGTTAAGAAAAAAAATGTCCGAACCAATGGGAACTTTTTCGAGTGTGTTTCGGGTCGAGGGGCACGCCATTGTGCGGGCGATTCAGCCGCGAATGGGGAGGGAGTATCGAGGATAGAAGATAATGATCATGTCGAATAACCATGCTGTCATCGCAGCGCTGAAGCCGTTTTTAGTATCCTCTGCGGCAGTATGGGATTGTCATGAGAAGCTCAATGCATTAGGCTCGCGCAACTGCGTCTCTCTGTGTTGGATGCCGGACCATATGCGCGTGAAAGAAAATGAAGCAGAGAGAACGCGCTGGAGGAGTCTTCGGGGCTGCGACGACCTCCTGGGATATTATGACCAGAAGCTGTTTAAGAAAATTATGGTGATGTGTAAAAATCAGGTGAGATTTCTCGCCGGGGTCTTGTCGGGTCACTGCAGACTCAGGGGCAGACTTCGGCTGGGCCTGGAAAGTGAGGACATTTGCAGATTTTATTGGGAGGATGGGAAGACCTCGGTGCACCTTGTGGGGGAGTGTGGTACTCCTATTCATAGAAGAAGGGAAGTATTGTGGAGCTTATCAGAAGGGTAGGTCTCAAGTGTGTGTTGCAGGGCATGGCCCGCACTCGGAGGGGTGCGCACAATGAATCCTTATACGCCAATAAAGTTCTTAGTATATTTTAGAAATTCTAATACAATGGCTGCACAGGTTCCGGTAGCTTTCATTCAACTCCGAAAGTAAATTTGAAATATTTGAAAAAATTATAAGGCTAGATTCATGAAACTCGGCAATCGTGTGCCTAATTGTAAGCCAGATATAGCCCTGAAATTTTTGGTGGAATGGCTTGACTGGTTCAAAAGCTATTTAAAATATTTAAAAAATAAATGAGGTAGATTCAAGAAATTTGGCAGTCGTGCGTCCATTGGTCAGACATAATATCCGTTAAGTTTCTATTGAGTGGTTTGACAGGATCTAGTAATTGCTGTTTGACAATAAAAGCTAATTCTAGATATTTAAAAAAAAAAATTTGTAAACTCAGATCAAAGTGCAGGGTATAAATTAGCCGACTTATACAAAATGAAACATTTCCACAATACAGGTTTCCCTTGCATAACGCGATAGTTACGTTCCAGGTAAATTCAGCGTTATGTGTTTCGCGTTATATAAGACTTAGTTTTTATATAAATTTGGGGGTTATATAACAATAAGATTTTTTACAAAATAAAATATATATTTAATAAGAAATAACATATATTTCAACTCAAAACTAAAATTCAGATTTTGTTATAAAACTAAAACCATAAAAATAAAAACAATAACAATTCAAAATTCAAAAAAACTAAATAAAACAAATTATGTACATACATATTATAAAATTTAAAAGGAAACTGAAAAAAACTAAAAGTTTATTAACAAACTCCATTATAATTAATCTGTTTCGCAGTCTTCAAATATCCTATTTCGTGAAAGTTGTGAGGCTTGTGGGCGTGTAATAACATCAGAAGATATTTCTTCAACATAGGAAGTTGTTTTCCTTGTTGGATAAAAACTAGTTGTGGAACCTTGTGATCCTTCGACTGGATTTTAAACTTCGCGTTATAAGAGTTCAAATTTCGCGTTATACTGAAACCGATTTTTTTTTCAAATCGCGTTATATTGAAAACGCGTTACAAAGTACCGCGTTGTACAAGAGATACCTGTAGTGTGAATTAAATGTTGAAAAGGAAGATTATGTAAATTTTTTTGGAAAATTGAAATATGTACATACATCTGTATTTAAATTATTTATGAATAAAATGTTAAGCCTTTTCATAAACACAGTATATTGCGATATATAGCGAGAACTGCGCTATATTTGTGTTCATAAACAAATTTTGATAATCAATTTTGTTCATAAACTTTGCTAATCTATCTCAAAAATATTTAAATTGTCATGGCTAGCGCAATTAAATCTGCTGTATGTTTTTTTACTATTGTACTTGAAAATAACAAAATTTCTATTTGTTTCAGTTTTCTTAATTTTTATTTTTCCTAAATACAACTGTCCAAAACATATTGCTTATGTATCACATTATTGTTTTGCAGTATTGTGTTTATGTAAATCTGTTTTATGTTAATTGAATTTTTGTAACAAAAGCAAAACTTTTTATTGCATAATTAAATTAGATTAAAATGAATAAAGGAAGAACTTTCACACAAATTCTTATTAATTAGATTCAGATTATGGCGTTCGTGTCAATTTTTTTGAGTTAGCTATGTCCTCCGAATATTATATTTATCTTTTACATGTGTGCCTAAAATATTATACCCGTTCGAACCAATATTAGAAGGGGGAGGAAATTTTTTCTTTATTAGTAAAAGAAACAAATATGTGAGAAAATCTCTCAATTTTTTTTTTGATGTCCCAGGAATTTATGACCATTTACAATTATTTATAACCATTTAACAATTATCTTTTTTACTATATACATACGTTTTAAAAATTCTCCTGTTGATTAGAATTTTTTGTATTTTCATCCAAATATTTCTCGTAACAAATAACATTTTTAGTCATCACTGAATTAATTATTTCTTTTAAGGTTCAAATCATCTTATGTCTTGAAGCGACATAATTTAACTCATACTGGAGAAAAACCGTACGCTTGTGATTATTGCGAGCGCGCATTTGCGCAGAGTAATATTTTTAACTTTTGCTATTAAAATAATTTATTTTTAATTATTTCAGAAAATGATTTGATAAAACATTTAAAAATACATTTGGGAGAAAACATATATAAGTGTGATATATGTATGGACTCATTTCGTTTACAATATGAACTTCGTGACCATCTTTATGAGCATTATCGAAAACAAAAAGAAACTAATATTTAGAATTGAATTTAATTTTATGTCAAAATGTTAGAAAAATGTATAGAATATTTTGGGGTGAAAATTAAATACATATGTATTCAACAAAGTAGGAGGATAGTGAAAGTGTTGCTGTGTAACATTGAATTTCAAAATATTAAAAATTTGCTGTAAATTGTAATTAACTCGAAAAGTAATAGTAAAATAAAATTTGTTATTATAACTGCATTGAAATCGCATTTTCAAAAATTCTTTTTTAGCTTTTCGACTAGTAAGCTCTTACCGGTACTAAGTTAGTTCAGTAAGAAATGTTAATAAAATACTTTTAAAAATAAAATGCCAACTTAGAAGTACTTTTGAAATTAATTTTGACTTTTTTTTTAAATTAAGTAAAAAGAATGATGGACGATATGAAATAATCCTTAGGGTAAAACTTTTGCATTATATGTATACTGAATTAATTTGGTTTTATAGTAATTTTTATAGAATTAACTCGCAATGAATTGTAACAGACACTTGTTTTAAAAACTTTTTTTTTAAGATTTTTTCTGTTCTCAAGACAGCACTTCAGATTTTTTTCATTTCTTGATATAAAAGAGTTTAGGTTTTTACTTACTATCAGCTTAATATTGAATTACCAAAAACACCCTATATAAACTTTTATTTTTTTTTTGTGTATTTATTTATTTATTAGTAGTAGAGATTGTATTAGAGTAGTAGAGATTGTAGAGACTCTGTAACAATGAAAAACGGAGAAATTGTAGGTCTCTGGGTGAATTTCTGTGGATCTTTTTGTGGATCCGTTTTGTTGTGATAAGGAATTTAAAAATTAAAAATTTTTGTGTGATAAGGAATTTAAAAAAAATTTTTATCGGTGTTTTTTCATTCCTCCATTCTACGATAGTTGGTTTGGTTTGAATGCGATGTTGTGTGTGTGTAGTTTTAATTATACAGTAGGCTCGTACATACATATTTTGATTGTCATAATATATTTTAAAAATGACGTCAGGAGATCTCCTAACAGGCCATTTAGATTATTGAGAAATTTTTTGTTACATTAAGAAATATCCAATAGTTGCATGTACTATTTATTTTTTCAAGGATAATGTATGAAAATCGTACATTTTTGGTAATAGTACCCTACAGAGTTTAAAAAAATGCGAAATAAAAAGTTTTGAGATATGAAAATTTTTTTGTGGTTTTTAAACAAAATTTTAGTTTAATGATAGATAAGAAATTTTATTAAAAAAGAAAAAAACGTATGTATGTGTATATATGTATATAGAATGAAGGAATTAAAAAATTATACTATGCTAGATGTATGAACTTGAAAAATGACGTCAGGAGATTCCCTACAAAAATAGTATTATAATATGACAAACATGATAGCTTATAGTTTATATTTCATAAATATCTTTTTTACTTTTTTATATAAATACAAGTGTCTAATGGTTGTTAATTTTTATTTGATAGCAATCATAATGTTTTGGATTGAAAAAATTTCACATGGTCAACAGTATTCTATTTGTGATAAAAGGTAGAAATCCATGAAGATTACAAATTTCAAAACATTTTGGGATAATTTAGAAATATTTTCAACACCTGAACATGGAGAGAGGGTTTGTGTATTAAGATTAAGGAACGGTGAATCAGTATCAGATTCACAAAGAAAAATTATGGAGAGACTGAACTGGCGACATGTAAAAATTGAGGTTTCTGGTGGGGATATAATTGTGTCGGGTGAAATACATTATGCCTTGCATGAATCCAGTGTTCGTAATAAACCAAAATCTTCTGCAAATAATTGTCCATTTGAAAACGATTGAGAAGTTATTGAACGCAATATTTCAAATATATTTCCCGATGAATTAAGCAATAAATATTTATTATCAGAATCTAGGAGAGTGAATGTTTTTGAAGAGAAAGAAAATCAAAATAAAAAGTCTATATTTAGACAAAAACTTGAAGAAGGTATATCGCATATTTCCTCTATAGAGAATATATATAATGAAAAAAATAATAAAACGAAAATTGGGGAGTTATTATGAAAACTAAGAAAAGCTCTCGAAAAATTCAATGAGCAAAATATGGATTATATGGAAGGTTTTCAAAAAGAGACAGAATTATATTTATCAAAATTTTTGTACATGTGTAAAATAATAAACCAAATTAAGTACCTTCATGCAAAGGAAATCAATAAATAAAAACAAACAAGTAAAATCAATATCATTTGACTATCAATTTTCGAGGTGTTAACATCGTTAAAATAATAAAACAAGATGCATGCAAGTATTTATTTAATTTCATATTTATTTTTGGCTATCACTGGTGCAGCACCTACGCCGAATATAAGATTAGATGAGTCAGCTTACGGAAGTACTGATTTCAATATAGTTCTACCTAATAATGAAACTATAAAGGTAAATCTATCGGTACAATTCCTCAAGCATGTAGCTGAATCTGGAGCAACAATAGCAACAACAACAACAAAAACAACAACAACAATTAATATATCTTCTGATTCAGATAATTCTTTGAAAGCTGACTCAGTTCCTCAATTTGTATCAGTAGAAGAAGCAATCCAAACATTTAAAAACGATTTAATTGCAAAAGAAGTCGCTATCGGTGGAATAATACAAAGTGCACAAGTCTTCTACAGACATTTCAGATTGGAATATGGTGAAGGTGAAGATATTAAAATACGATGTTCCTATGATTCCAACTTTCAAGAAAAAACTTTAAAAATTGATTGTCAAGAGAATATCGTAACTTCTGCTAAAAGACTTACAAGCAGTGGTGAGTTAGAGACATATATCGCTTTCAATACTGATTATCAATGCTCAGCAGATACAATATTAGATTTACGAAAGATAAAGCAAACCTATCATATGGAAATATCTTAAAATATTAAAATTTTCTAATAATTTTTATTGTGTTTTTAAATATATAATACAAATAAAAGAACTTTTATTAAATTAAATCTGTTTTATTTATCCAGGAATTGTGGCTTGATGGAAAACCAAGCCATTTTACAAAAACTTTATCATCTTTAGTTTTTAACACTTTTTCTACTAAATAAATGTCGTTATGTTTAGATTTAAGCAACTCATATTCATAGAAAGCACCTTCAATTGGTTGACCTTCGTAGTCTTCTAATAAGTATGTTACAGGGTTTGTTATCTGCACTTTCCTTATCTTGAATATTTCTATAGTCCAGTTAGGTGTATAACCTTTTTCAAAAACATGTTTAAACTTGCTTATCCGAACTGAGTCACTAATTTTGAGTTTTCCTCGTTGTGAAATCTTAATGTGGTTGTCTGCCCTTGACAACAACTCATTAGCATTATTTTTATTTATATCTACTGGGCGTCTTTGTATGGTTCGATGCTTTATATGATTGTATTGGTTAACTAATTTATCAATAATATCTATCCATTTATAATTTCCGTTGAAGCTGAATTCTTTCCACATTTTTTCTTTTAGAGTTCGATTAAAACGTTGCACAATAGAAGCTTTTAATGAGTTTTATGTAGAATAATGATTTATTTGATAGTTACTCATTAGTTTTTTAAAAATTTTGTTAAAAACTTCTTTTCCATCATCGGTCAGAAGATTTTTTGGATATCGCTTGGCTTCTTTGAAAATTAGTTCCATAGCTTCAGTGGTACCATCACAAGTTTTATTTTTTATTGGTATAGCCCAAGCATATTTTGAGAATGTATCTATCACAGTCAAGAGGAATTTATATCCCCTATTTTCCTTTGCATAAGCTCCCATTTCGACTAAATCAGTTTGCCATAAGTCATCATAACCCTTTATAATAACTCTACGTCTTTGAAAATTTCTTCTTGCAGGTTTCTGCAATTCTTCAACAACAGCTGTCTTACTCATATTTCTGATTAATTATTAAAAAAATCTTTTCCCTAAATATTTTTAAGAATCGAGGTTTTTGAGGCACTCAATTCAATCAAGAACCTCATCTTTACTCATCTTAAACATAAATAATTAAAACAATATTTTTTTTTTATTTTATTTTTTTAAATTCTTTCATACAATTGCATTAGCTTTACAATTCTGATCATAATATTTTCAACTGATATGCACGGACAAGTTTCAGGTAAAGAATCGGGAACGTCTGAAGAATATGAACATATTGAATAATGATATCCATAGTCTTTTGTCTCTAACTGAGTAGATTTTTTGAATTGCAGTAAAAATTTAAAATGTTCCTTCAATTCAATATAATGTTCCTCCAATAAAATGTCTTCATATATATTTAAAAAAATTTTTAATTTATATCCAATTTTTGGTATATCTATTTTGAAGCCGCTATCTATTTTGAACGTATACTGATTGATTTTACTTGTTCACCTTTTTAATTTCATTAATTTTTCTAGTAAAATATGCTTCCGTGTTTCTTAGGTCATTTCGTTGATTATTAATAACTTCTTTTATTTTTGTATTATGTTCTTGATCTATTTTATTTTCAAGAGTTTTATTTTCTGACTCCACAAATCCATTAACTCTTGCTATTTCATTCCTTAGTTGTTGTAATACATATTCTCTCTGAGTAATAACCACTCTATTGAGAGCTTCATTTAAAGTCGCTAGTTCATCATCTACATATTTTTTTGTAGCAGTGTCATTCTTATTTATTGGAGGTCTTAGGTTTATCAATTGTTTATTTTGAATATCGTAATACCCATCAGAATTAAGTTGTAATCCAATTGTTTGAAAATTTTTAGCTTGGTTAATAGCATATGGATAATTTCGGCTATGACCGAATTTATCTATAGTCATTATGCTAATGATGACGTAATTCAAATACTATTCAATTATATTAGCTTCCCTTAGTTCTTCTATTATGGAATTAATTTAATTATTGTGATTATTATTACTTGCTATTTGTTAAGAAATCAAAAGTCTCAAACTATTAACCAGCTCATTAGGATTATCCCAATAGGTATATTGAACCGGTTGCTTTGAATACATCATAGATGATATCTGAGGGTTTATAGTAAATTTTCCTTTAGTTAAAGATTCTCCTATTTTTTTCCCTCTTGCGTTATATTCATGAATGTAGAGTTTTTTAATACTATTTTGATATTTAAATCCCTTATTACCCTTAATTTTATGTAATGAATTATAATTTCTCTGACGGGCGTTGGTTTTTTCCTGATTCCCAAATTATGATCAAAATAAGGGCCATAGCTCTTATCAAGTTGTGATTTCTTGTAATTATGTAGAGGTGATAATGATGATTCTAATTTATCACTTTTTGAATTTGTAAATGTGATTGTGTTAGGAGTTGATGTTAAAAAACTTTCAAACTAGGATTTTTCCTTTTTGGTGCTTTTATTTTATTTTCGACGAATGACATCATATTAAATTTATCAGTACTGTATTCTTCCTGTTTTACTTCCGGTTTTATAAATGCTGACGGAGATAGATATTTCACAACATTAGTTAAGTCTTCAATAGCCTTGACAATTGGTTTGAATGTAATTTTCCAAAATTTCATCATGCATAATTTGACCGCTTTTTAATGATTTGTATTTTCTTTTTAAATCTTTTCTAACTTTAATACTCTTTCAATACTTTTTCATTCATGATTATTCAATGAAATCGCTATTATTGATCTGGTATTGAATTGCAGCCGATCTGATCTGGTCTGTTGCAGTTGTTGATCTGATCTATTGCGGTTGTTGATCTGATCTGTTACGGTTGTTGATCTAATCTGTTACTGATATATTATTCTATAACTTGATAAATTCATCAAATTTTCTTCTATAGCGGCCAGCATTCGAAACACTATCCTTATCTATAACTAGAAATCCATAGTCGTCTTTCCAGCAGCATGAGCATAATTTTTTAAATTGATCAAAAGACATGTCTGTATTAACATGATCATTATAGATATGTTTTAAATTTAAATCGTCTTGTTTGAATGCAATTATAAAATTTGCGTTATCAGTTATTAAATGCTTAGGTATCCGAGTATAAGATTGACATAAATAAAAACTATCAACATCTTGATGACGTCCCATGCAAAAATAATTCCTTATGGTATCTTGCTTGTCACAAGCAACATCATCAAATATAAATATTGAATTAGGTTGAGATTCAGCAAGGTCAATTACACCTGAGTTATTTGAAAATTCGTTATATCCCATTCCCTTAATAGGATTCATTATCTTTTTCAAGTATTCATATTTCGGTTGATGCAGCGATTTAGAATATATATATATATTTTGATATTTAAGCCCATTTGGGTCTAATAACATACTCAACATTACGTTAGTTTTACCGCAATTGGACGGGCCCACAATTAAACCCCTGATACTAACTGGAAACATTGCTCCATGTTTCTTCCTTTTCTTTGTGCTACCCGATTTTTTGTCAAAATTTTTTACTTTTATTGTATCATGCACTTTGATAAACTTCATAACTCCTACTAGTTGAACTTAATATAAAATTATTTAATTCTTACTTTTGCAATCATTTGCATTTTATCCACTTTCGAAGAAGGAATAAATTTTAAATAAAGTTCAACAATCGAATGGCGCTCAGTAATAGACATATTGTTGAGAGGGAAGGAGGAGGATTATTGAATTCTTTGATAATTAAATTACCATTTGAAGCTCATTTACCTGGTTACAACTATTGTGGTCCTGGAACAAAATTAAAAGAGCTAGTGGTGATAAGGGTATTAATCAGTTAAACGAGGCTTGTAAAGAGCATATTGCTGATAATATATTAGCAGAAAAAGCCTGGCAGAGAGTTAAAGCAAAAGATTCAAGTTTTAGTGAACGAGCCAACGCCTGGTTGGTAACAAACGCAATGAAGGCAAAAGTTAAAACTGGAATAGGTTGTAGAAATGGGATAAAAAAGAAGAAACAACTTTTAAGAAAATTAATCCATGAAGCTAAAATTGCTATTAAAGGATATAAACCTGAAAAAGAAAAAGATGCAATAAAAATTGCACTTAAAGCAGCTAAAAATATTGGTAAAATAAGAAATCGATAAAAATTCCACTTATAATTCCAGTTCCTAAATCCGGTGGTATTCTATCATTAATTCCGATATTGACGGGTCTTTCAGCTGTTGGAGCTCTTACAGGAGGTGCTGCTGGTATAGCTAAAGCTGTCAACGACGCTAAAAATTCAAAGAAGATGTTAAATGAAAGTGAACGTCACAATAAGACTATGGAAGCTATTGGTATTAGAGGAAAATGTCTACAATTAAAACCAAATAAAAAAGGGTTTGGATTATATTTAGCTCTAAAAAACCACTAAATTTGCTACCCAAAAGAGCACTGACAAATATTGATATAAACGATTTTGGTCGAAAGTATTTACAAAATTTCCGCGGCGTTTTTATGAGAGATAATCTACCTAAAACTAAACCATGAATGTGGTATTATATGAAACATGAATGTGGTATTATAAATTTAGATAATTCCACAGGCCGTGGCACACATTGGGTAGCATATCATAAGAATTTAAATAATATTCAATATTTTGATAGTTTTGGAAACTTACAACCACCAATTGAAGTTGCTAAATATTTGGGTGATAAAATTTCATGTAATTATAAGAATTATCAAAAATTTGATACATACAATTGTGGTCATTTATGTTTACACTTTTTATCTAATAAAAAATTTTATGAATAAAATTAATTTGCTGTTGTTATTATTTTTGTATTCATTGCTACAAAATTTCAAGTTCAAGAAAAAACATGATAAGAAATGAAAAGCAAAAGTAGGTCAAAATTTTTCATATGTTGAGATTTATAATGACCACAAAATTGAGATATCAGGTTCAAGGTTATTTCTTTTTCGCTTTGAATTTTAGAATTTCATATGAATATTAATCATCTAGTTAAATTAATCATGATAGTTGAGATGATATAAAGGATGATTTCCCACCTATAGATTTACAAGGAGACTATGTTTGTGCTTTAGTTGATTTCCAGATATATAATTCAATACCGAATATTGATAATGATAACAGTAAATTCATTATCGGTAGTAGAACCATCATTATTCCGATTGGTTCCTATGAAGTTGAAGATATAGTAGAGTTTCTTAAAAAAGAGTTGCAAATTAATGACACTAAGGCAGATAAGCAAAAACTTCACATAAAACCAAATAATAATACATTAAAATGCGAAATTTTTCTACTGAAGAAATTGATTTTCTGCAAAAAGGTGTAATTGGGAATTTATTTTAGTCAGAGGAAACTTGAAGCAAATAAATGGCATATATCAGATTTACCTGTTGATATCAAGAAAATTAACATTATACGCATTGAATGCAGTATTATACAAGGAACGAATATAACGATAAAGAAGCACATATTCTACACGAATTTTCAATCGCTGTACCACCAGGGTATAAAATAATCGAAGTCCCGCGACCCTATTTATTTACACGTGGCCTTCAACAGAATCACTGCAATCGTGATAAGATTAATTGATCAGATCGGCAATTTGATTAATTTTCAAGGTGAAACTATAACGGCAAGACTACATTTGAAAAAACAAGAAAATATATAATAAACATGTCTCTTTATGATAGCAATAGCTATATATCTTCAATTAAAAGGTCTCATCCATTCAATAATCAATCTACCTCAACAGTGACAGGTTCCAGAGGAGTAGGTAAACCGATTTTAACAATCGAAAATCAGGAATTTTTAAAATCAATAGGATTAAAGTTAACAATACATTAAAATGGAGAGTTTATTTGGTAATCCAGTTATTGATGAAAGTACAACAAGCGCTCACTGGCATACATATTCAGCATTCTTGAATTCATTTAGTAAAACCGATATTATACGCGTACAGATACAAAATCAAAATTTGAACATTTTACTTTTCACTAGCTTACTTTATATTGAAGGTACAATTTCAAAAGCTGATGGTATATGATAACAATAGAAATGTGGGTATTACATCATGCTTAAAAAACTACATTTCATTAAACAAAAGTGAGAGCAAAGCGCTTATTAATGGTAGTTGGTCACCTGAACAATCAATTGAGCCAAAGACTTTGTTTTTCAATTATTGTATTCCATTAATACAAAAAAAAATCTCTTGGTACAAAAAATCTCTTGGCTCTTTTTGATTACAAAAATATTGTGCCGAATGCCAAACATGAATTAATTTTGATACGTTCAAGATCTGATGATAATTCGTTACTTTGCTCTGATGCTAATGAAAAGCCAAAAATTCAACTAACCAAAGTACAATGGAGAGTGCAGCACATCAATTTAACTGATGCATTGAAATTGAATTTGTACAGCAATATTACAAATAATGCGAAAATAATGTTAGCTTTCAGAAATTTGGAATTATATGAATATCCGTCATTTCCACAAAATACTAATCATCAGATTTGGAATGTAAAAACAACAGCTCAATTGGAAAAACCTCGTTTCATTATTTTTGCGCTACTAACAGATAAACTTAATCAATTTACAAAAGATCCATCAAAATTTGATCATTGTAATATAACTGATCTAAAAGTTTACCTCAATTCAGAATGCTATCCATATGAAGACATAACTTTACTATTTGAAAGAAATCGTTACGGGGTGGCTTATGATGCCTATACAAGATTTCGAAGTAGTTATTATAATTATCCTGTTGCTGAACCATTGTTAACGTTAAAGGAATTTAAGCAAAAGGCTACGATCCTAATTATAGATACACGCTATCAAAATGAAAATCTAAAAATGGGTCCGGTTGATGTTAGGGTCGAATTGAAAACTTCAGAAATGATATCTGCAAATACCATAGCTTACTGCCTAATGCTACATGACAGATTAGTAGAATTTACGTCATTGAGCGGGGAAGTCGTCAAAATTATTTAAAAAAAGAAATGATAAATCGCACATGTAATCAAACTGCAATAAGATCATTAAATATCACTTCAGACTCGTTCTGTGTATTAGATATTCCACCTTTTATTGTAGGGGGTGCTTTCATGATCATCTTACATTGTACGGCTTTCCTATTCTACAAAGGATACACTTATTTAAAATTTCATAATCAGTCACAGGAGTAAAAACAAAAACTATCATGGATTACGTCATCATCGATGTACAAGGTTTTAGAGATAACAACAATAAATTCTTATTAAAAGAAATTGCCTGCCTTTCGTCAAACGGTGAAGTTCAGCATTTTATCATAAGACCACCATATGGATATCATATACTCACATCTAAAACTAAGTATACAAATAATTGGCTGACGAAAAAGCATCATGGTTTTCAATGGTCAGATGGCAAAATGCATTTTTGCGATGTCATCAATTTTTTGAAAGTTTACATAAGTCATAATACGATCATATATGTGAAGAGCGAAGAAAAGAAAAAGTGGATTAATAAAATTTTAAATCATTACAATGTGATCGATTTAAGCATGCGAAATTCAACAAGTTTAAAAAAATTTGAATGTCAACAAATTAAATGTTGTTTTAATTATATTGGAATGTGTGCTGTTGAAAATATAAATAAATTAACAAAATGCTGATTCTAAGCAATATTATTCTATTTAAGCAAAGAACAAAAATCGCTTCCCCGAAAAATCTTGGTATCACCATATTCGCACAATCAGTCATAAACTAAAAAGTGCTGTTTTTATCGATAAATATTTGAAATGCATCAAAAATGCATTCCAAGGAAGAATAGTAACATTTATTCGAGAAAATGAAAAGGAGAATGTTCTATTACCAAAAGATTTTCTTGATGGTTTCAAAATTGACGGAAGTCTTAGAACAGCATATTTCAGTGAAATTCAATTGAATTCACTGAAATATGCTGTTCAGTGGAACAGCATATTTCAGTGAATGAAAATTGGAATTATACGCAAAATTTATCAAGCTGAAAGATGTCCAAAGTAATGAAAATGAAGAAAGCATCATGTTGACCGCAGTACAGAAATTCATAATGCTTTTGATGATATGACTAGTGCAATAACAACTCAAGCTGAAGAATTCCAGGTTGATTGTTTGAATTTCACAGGTGTTTCTCATCCTGTTAAAGTTAAAGATTTGTTTCAAATTGAAGAACAGAATTCAGTGATAAGCATGAATGTTTATGGACTGAAGGAATTCGGAAGCAAAACACAAATAATAGGAGCTTATTATCATACAAAAAATAAAAAAACAAATCATGTTGATCTACTTCTTTTAGAAAAGCATGAAAAGAACCATTAAGTTTGGATAAGGAACTTATCTAGACTAATAAGAAGTCAAATAACCCTTCATCGCGAATCAATACATTTATGTACACACTGCCTATTATATTTTCGAAATGAGCAAAAACTAAACAATCACGAATCTGTATGTTCTAAAAGAGTTGTAAAGCTACCGACAGGAGATGATAACATTTTAGAATTTAAAGACTACAGCAAAAGTTTAAAAGTACCTTTTGTAATTTATGCCGATTCAGAATGCATGCTCAAGCAGATTGCTTCTTTCCAAAATGATCCTACTATTTCATCAACAACAGATACAAGGCTTCATGTACCTAACAGTAGAGATTGGGAGACCCTGTATTAATGAAAAACGGAGAAATTGTGGATCTCTGGGTGGATTTCTGTGGATTTTTTTGTGGATCCGTTTTGTTGTGATAAGGAATTTAAAAATTAAGATGTCGTGTGTGTGTGTTTGTAGTTTTAATTATACAGTAGGCTCGTACATACATATTTTGATTGTCATAATATATTTTAAAAATGACGTCAGGAGATCTCCTAACTGGCCATTTAGATTATTGAGAAATTTTTTGTTACATTAAGAAATATCTAATAATTGCATGTACTATTTATTTTTTCAAGGTCTTTTTATACCCTGCACTTCGTGAAGGGTATATTAACTTTGGTATGGAGTTTGTAACTACTTGAAGGAGTTATCTGCGGTATGGACATATGTATATATTCTTGCTCAGCGTAAAATTCTGCGTCGATTTAGACATGTCCATCCGTCCGTCCGTCCGATCGCACTATAACTCAAAAACGAATAATGCAATCGACACCAAACTTTCACAAGTTTTTTCTTTTGTGCCAAGGACGAACCGTTTTGTTATTAGACTAATTCGGACAACGGGTTCGGGTAGCTGCCATACAACTCAAAGAGTTTATTTCAAATATTTCAAAAACTAATAAAGCTATAAATATAAAATTTTGTATACATGTGTCCAATTATATTCTACATACGCTCTAAAAATTATAATGGGATAGCTACACCGTTTCGGGTGGCTGCCATACAACTCCAACAGCAGATTTTTTATATTCGGCAAAATAATAAAGTCAGATTCATGAATTTTGGCAGTCATGTGTCCAATTATAGACCAAATATATTTCTGAAGTTTTAGGGGAATTGCTTGACAGGTTCGGGTACCTCAAATACAACTCCAAAAGCTAATTTTTAATATTTGGAAAAATAATAAAGTCAGATTCATGAAACTTGGCAGTTGTGTGTCGAGTTATAGGTCAGATATATTTCTGAAGTTTTGGTGCAATTTCTTGACAGGTTCGAGTAGCTCCCATACAAGTCTAAAAGCTTATTTTAAATATTTGGAAAAACAATAAAGTCAAATTCATGAGACTTGCCAGTCGTGTGTCCAATTGGTCAGACATATTTCTAAAGGCTTGGTGGAATTTCTTGACAGGTTCGAGTAGCTCCCATACAAGTCTAAAAGCTTATTCTTAATATTTGGAAAAATAATAAATTCGGATTCATTAAACTTGGCAGTTGTGTGTCCGATTATAGATCAGATATATTTGTGAAGTTTTATTGGAATTGCTTGACTGGTTCGGGTACTTGCCATACAACTCCAAAAGCTTATTTTAAATATTTGGAAAAATAATAAAGTCAGATTCATGAAACTTGGTAGTTGTATTTGGAAAAATAATAAAGTCAGATTCGTGAAACTTCACAGTTGTGTGTCTGATTATAGATCAGATATATTTGTGAAGTTTTGATGGAATTGCTTGACAGGTTCAGGTACTTGCCATACAACTCCAAAAGCTAATTTTAAATATTTGGAAAAATTATGAAGTCAGATTCATGAAACTTGACAGTCGGATGTCCAATTATAGATCAGACATATCCGTGAAGTTTCTATAGAATGACTTCACAGGTTCGAGTAATTGCTACACAATAACGAAAGGTGCAGGGTATAATTCAATCGGTTTCTACCGACTGAAACGTTTTTACTTGTTATTTATTCTTTTTCTTCTAAAATAATGTATGAAAATCGTACATTTTTGGTAATAGTACCCTACAGAGTTTAAAAAAATGCGAAATAAAATGTTTTGAGATATGAAAATTTTTTTGTGGTTTTTAAACAAAATTTTAGTTTAATGATAGATAAGAAATTTTATTAAAAAAGAAAAAAACGTATGTATGTGTATATATGTATATAGAATGGAGAGGAATTAAAAAATTATACTATGCTTGATGTGTGAACTTGAAAAATGACGTCAGGAGATTCCCTAGAATTAGAATAGTATTATAATATGATAAACATGATAGCCAGGAGATTTTCTAACAGGCAATTTAGATTATTAAGAAATTTTTTTGTTACAAAGAAGAGGTAAATCTTAGCATTAGGTATTTGAGTAATAAATTAAAAACAAAAATAAATAATATCTTATTATTTTTATTATTCTTTTTTTAAAAATTTATAAAATTTATTAAAAACCTCGTGAGATTTTAAAATTTTGCACATTTCTTTGGATACCTTATTGCAGATATAGCAATAAGGCTCTTTAAACATGAACTCTTTAGCTTCCTCAAAGCTATCACATACTATTGTAAAATAGAATGTGGAGTATACAGCGTCTAAGGTCTCGTTGTTCTCCGGATTAGCTGCTTTGATGTTGTCGAAGCACCTCGGGCAAATAATTTTTTCAGCGTTGTGTTTAAAGGAGGTGTCCTCCAAATCGTCATTGTCGAACACTCCTACCTCTGCATCGACAAAACGATAGAAAATAGTGCAAACTTTCCCATTCCCAGCACCTTCGACAAGTTGAAAGGATAGGGGGAATCCATCCATTTGATACTCTTGGCGAATTACAGCTGATTCTGTAGGCATGGTGTGTTGGTGTTGTTTAATAAATTATTTAATTGAAACTAATAAAAAATCTGAGAAAAGAATGGTAATTTATACTTTTTGTAAGACTTCGTAAATTGTATAAGAAGGACGATAAAAAGTCTTTTGATTAATAACATTTGGTGTTGTGAATGATAAATAAAACTACAACATAATTTTTAAAAATTGTTTTTATTTTTTTATTTTATAGTGAGCTCACGCAAAAGTATTAGTTTTATTTTCAAGTACATATCTTTTATCATCATTAGAACTTAATGCTATTTTATTTAACATTTGAATATATGAAGAATGTAATTTAGATCTAAATGTGTTCATGGAGCAATATTTAGTTTTATTAGTAAACAATGATCTCTTATAATCTTCTTTAGTTAAAGTCTTAACTACATATATCTTGACTCCTTTAGATTTTTTAATAGAATCATTTAAGGTTTCTAAAAAATACATTTTCGACTTTAGACCAACAAATTCATTTATTATTCGACCATTCATTTTATCTTTAAACAGTCCTAAAATCTTTTTGTTTACTAAGGGAAAACCGTAAGGGTTATCAGGTTCATAGTCCGATGTATCAAATATAAGTTTTGATGGATCATATTGTTGCTCATCTTCAAGAATATCTTTGTAAAAATCGTCCGAGAAAGTTGTATAAATGAATGCATCTGTATCAGTATAATTTAAAAATAATGTATTATTAGAGAATTTTTTCTTCATATAATTGTAGTGAAAGTTGTACATGTGGAATTTTAAAAGTTTAA